AGGCACTTCTCTTATCACCTGCTATATTCGCTGATATATCACATCTGAACTGAAACCGTTGATTCTTCGCTCAACCTGATCCATCCACTCTCTCTCTCTCTCATCTACTCTTGTCCAAAACATTTTCCTGTTTTTCTTCCGAACAATCTCATATTCATCTCCGATTGATATACAATGGTGATTTATGTGTGCAATGTGAAGCAGCAACTCTGATCATTATTAAATAACAGCGCATCGTTCATTGAATCGATGCTATATGTTTGATGAATATGTGAATGTGATGCTATTGTAAGTTTTGAACTTGATGAATTTAAGTGGAAATCGGAGGAACGGAGTAAGAGGTCGATAACAGAAATTAAACAACTATCACTGTTTCGTGTTTTCGAGAGCGCTTGAAATGTGCACTGTATTTGAGCACTTCAATGGTGATTACAAAATGATGATTTTAGGATGAACTGTGCAGCTGATGAAAACATTAAGAAAATTGTACAACATCAGCAAAATATTTTCTGCCAATTTGAGGACAAAATATACCGTTCGGATCAGTTTCACAGACACCCATTTCACAGACATTGGAGATTTATTTTCAGTTGTTGAGTGTCGCACTATTCCACTTTAGCTTTGACAGTCGTTTGTTGTTTCAGGAACAAGGAACATTCCATGATTTCATGGAAGGATTGAAAGTATTCGACAAAGAAGAGTGTGGAAAGGTTGGTTAACGGCTACTTTTGTTTCATGACAAATGGCATTCAGTTCCATATCCCATATGATTTTTGCTGATAAATTGTTCAACATCAACAATTATCACGAATTTGTTCAACGGCAAACCGGTTTTTTTACATCGAGGAGGGCTATGATGCGATATCAGGAAGAAGAAGGAACGTGAAACTGCAGGCACCACAGACCGATAGGAAGCATTTTATGCAGCAGTGGAAATTGATTTCGTAATAATTGAAATTGCTGATCAATAGAAATACGTTCATATTGACAATAACTAATGAAAATAATCTGTGCGATGTTTTTTGCAGATCATGTCTGCCGAATTGAGGCACATTTTGCTGTCCCTCGGTGAACGATTGAGCAAGGATGAGGTTGAAGAAATTATGAAAGGCGTTGAAGATGCTGAAGGAATGGTTAACTATGAAGGTAGTTTTCATACGATTACCTTTGCTAGCACATTTCATGAAATTAACATTTCTTTCATGGAAGACATTCGACTTTTTTCAAAATCGAGTTTATTTCAATGTCATATGGATTCATCTGCTCCATACTACACCCGATCAATCATTCACCTGATTCATCCGATTATCAATTTCAGCATTTATCAAGAAGGTTCTTGCTGGTCCATTCCCAGAAGAATAAACAGTGAAACGAGAGGCATTCAGCACTCAACATTCAAAATTACTGTTCATCACCTTGCTAAGACTGACTACTGCTGAACGTTCTATCATACTTGAAGCTCATCACTGCGCTCTTTTCTCAATTATAACTTTACTTTTGTTTCTACCTTCTTTAATCGCCCGTGCAAAACATACATGAATTTGTGCTTAAATCGCTCACTCCTTGTGATTATAAAAGTTACATTTTGTTCACTGTGAAATAATTTAAATTTGAATTATTGAAAGTAATCGGCATTGGATTTTGAAGTAATTATTTGGAGTGAATTAGAGCAATGAATTTACACATTTATTGAAAAGTTAATTTTTGATGAGATAAATGTTCGTGCATCGTTTCAATACTCAACGAATGAAGTCATTTATTTCATATACAGTAATTTATAAGAACAAGAATCATTTGAAATTAATTACATTAAGTATGCGTTGTCAACAAAATATGATGAGAAGGATCGAATGATGATTAAGATTAGTGCTGGGAAATATTCAAGATGAAGTGTATCACGATTATTGGTTTCGTCGAGTCATCCTATTGATTAGTTTAATAAGAGATTAAAAAGTATTCGTGCATCCGAAAAGTGAACCTAACCCATTTTATCAACAGTTTTTTGCAGCAATAAATAATGAGCGATGGATAGTTTATACAATCCATCTGTTTTGCATGTTTCTTTCGACGCATCGTCTGCTTTCTATTATACATTCATTCGTTTCGTTGTGTTCATTATCTTGTTTCAACCAGTCATTTTAACTGGATATTATTTTAGTTGAATTCATGCGGTATGGAATATTGTAGCAGAATTGACGAAAATGATGCTTATTGTATGTTGTTATGGAGTCCATAATATGATATGTAACAAATTATTGTGTAGTGACATACTGTTTATGTTATTTCAACGGTAATGAATGGCTATTGTTATCATTATTGATAACCTCGTTAAGCAGAGATGAAATCAACAAATTTTGTTGTTGATATTGTACGAATGAGAGGCTTGAAATTGCTTAGGATATTTATCATTAGAAGATGATAATTACTGAAATCAGTTGTTTAGAAGAGCAATGTTAGGTGATCAGTAAAGTGCTAATGAATGCAACTCATAAGACATTTGTCATTCTGACTGTAACTGTATACCACTGTAATATGCTGACAAACGCGCAACTCGTTGCTATTGTTCCTCGTATAAGACACCGACCGATTAAAAGTTTATTCAATTTCATTTAATCTCATCAGTTTATTCAACCTCCATAAATATATTTTGCTGGATTTGGAATCACTTCAAGGATAGTTAGAAGACTATGGAATTATGTCAAGATTTAATATCATTTCAATTTATTCAACCTCGAGAAAATTACTTTTTAGACGGCATTCCGTTTGAAGGTTAGCCGGTTGAATGACGGTCATACTATAAGAATATTGAACTGCGACTGATTTGCCATTAACATGGTCATGAGATTGACAAGCAGTACAACGTTCTGTTGAACAACAGCGATAATGTTACAACCCGCATTCGATATTTCAGATCATTGATGAGCGTCTTTTGATTTTCGTTTCGATCGCGCTGGACATGCACAGTAGGTGGCATCCTCACCAGGGGTTCCTATCGGTCCTGGCGGACCCGGAAAGCCTTTCTCTCCATCTGGTCCTTTCTCTCCCATAGGTCCTTGTGGGCCCGGTGGTCCCATAAGACCAGGATTACCGTCTGGACCGTCAGGTCCTTGTGGTCCTTGCGGTCCCATCGGTCCTCTCGGTCCACGTGGTCCTGGCTCTCCATGCCCTCCAATGAATCCATTTCTTCCTGAGAAACCTTGTGGACCAGTTTTACCTTTGGGACCCTGTTCTCCTGTAATCAGAATTGGCTTTTAAATGGCCGTCGTTACATTTTAGTTTTAATCGGTTACAGACCACGGCCCAAATTTGACAGCAACCTTAGATTTTGGTTTCATCAATAACGGTGCTCTTCTTATGCACCAAACAATTCAAAAATAAAAATCTTTTCTCCAGTATATTAACGAGATGACTGTTTAAATTGACCTGGTGGACCGCGTGGTCCAGGCGGTCCCTGTGGTCCCTGTTGTCCGCTTGGTCCTGGAGGCCCTGCTGGTCCGTTCTTTCCATCCTCTCCTGGTGGTCCAGGCGGTCCTGAATCATGTTTCCAGATGAAGGGTAGGAGTTGTTCCGTAAAATTAAGCTTAGTTGTAAGAAAACAGTTGTTGCGGTGAGCGAATGCTTCATTCATACTTAACCTAAGCAACTTTGCACTGTTGGTCAGGAAACTGAAGTTCAAAATGATTAAGAATCTATGAGAAAATTATATTCTGAAATGCACATGCCGAACAATTACGAGTGCTGTTGGTGGGGAAAGTATAACAATGATGGAGGATATGTTGATGTCATCGTATGTAACAAGCATGATGAGAACTGATACGAAATTGATGCAATGACGATGAAATTGAGAAAACTACACGTAGCAATAAAAGTACCTGGTGGTCCTTGTACACCATTAGGACATATTCGACAATTCATTTCTAGATTGATCGAAACCTGTGGATAATTACCAGGAAGTCCAGGTGGTCCTGGTGGACCAGGTAATCCATCTTCACCATCAATTCCAGGTGGTCCCGGTGGTCCTGGTGGTCCAGGTGGGCAATCATTATGCGCGTTACAATCTAGATGTAAAAACTGACTTCTTTGATCACTCCTTTCATCAGTCATATCAATTATGAAATGAATAAATTGACGTGAACAACGAACTGCATTCGCCGGGTGATGAGAGTTGCCGCTTGAAACGATAGAATGAGTGCGCAGCATCGACTCTGCCTTTCACTTGCCTGTGTACTTCATTTTGGATGGCACGAAATTCATCCATATCCTCAAAAGGCGAATTGTTCAAGAAAAGACACTCGTGAATAATTCAACTGTAGTGATCGCTTAAGACTTAAAAGATTGCATGATTCATTTTGGCATCAATAATGATGTTGAATTCACAAAAAATTCAATTACGAACCATTTGGAGTTCGTTTTGTATTTTTGTTACTTTCGAATAGAGTGACATAATGAACACCGAACAGAGCGATAGCGCCATAACGCTGACAACAATCGATGTTTTCGCAATAAATTGAATTTGCATTTTTGACACGATTTTCAGCAGCTCTGATTTATTCGACAACTGAAATATTTCAATAAGAAGTTCACGACGATTTTGACAAAGATCTTCAATGATTGAAGAACACTGATGAAATTTGAGCGCTTCATCTGAAATTTGAGCGTCACAAGAAGAATCAGAACAGTGTCAGTGGTTCTTCATGAAATGGAAGTATGTTAAACGTGGAACTATGTTCGATGAAATGTAGTGACAAAGGCGTGTGTTCGAGGAATTTCAGATGCACTCAAGAAATGGCGAGCAAAAGTGCAAAGAAACGATGCTCAACATGAACAAATCATGTCAGTGTGAACTTATTCGAACACAAACGAAACATTTCACATTCATTCATCTTTTATAGTCGACTCGATGATGAAAAATTGCGCATAAGGATATTTGATTGGAATAAATTTTATAAAGCAATTCAGAATCGTTCGCAAACTAGTTCTGAGTAATAGTCTTTTTTGAGTGGGCCGCATTCTACCTTATGGGCGCAAGGGAGTGGACAATTGAATATTGTTGAACTCAAAATCAGCATTTTGCGACAAAAAATGGTCTAGATATTGCACTACCATTGTCAATAATCTTGATTTCGTGATTTGTGAAACCTGATCGTGAATTCAAAGAATCGCCCATTTTCAAATTACACTGCCAGATACCAGCGAAACTGGTACTTCCATTGAATTTTTCCGTTTGCACGGAGAATATTCTTTTCATTAACACACCGACTCGTCGTGCATTATTTCATCGTGCACTCGCTACGATAACCGACGCGAAGCCTCGATTACTCAGGTGTAAATGCAGTGGTCCCATCAACTGTTCTTCAGATAGTGATTTTTTGAAGCAAATGAATTCAGTGATGGCTGTAATTGAGACACAGAAAAGTATACAAGTTTAGTTAAGTGTTAGCAGGTATGAGTTTATGTCGATGTCTTGAGTGTGCGTGTGTGTGTCGGTAGTGAATATCGGCGAGTTATGCCAAAAAGAGATCGTTTCCGATGATCGCTTGAGATCACATGATCGTTCCTCCACCCGTTTTTTCACATTAATCGTTTCTTGATTCAATTTCTTTCTTCGTCTCGCTGAGAAATTAATGAGACGTAATGGAAAAACTAGGAGGTGCAAATGATGTTCTTAATAATCGCACTATAAACATATGTTTTGTTGGAGCACAATGTTACCTGACACAGTAACGCACCCCTCAAACTCACATCGGTCAGGAAAGATGCTGTCGAAAGCCACGCTTATCCAATATACTATGAATTTGGCGTGAGTATGATAGAATGGGCAAAAAACTTGCCTATCAAAGCGTCATATCAAAGCATTTCGACGATTCAAGAACAATTTGATGTTGTAACAAGCGTACTCATACAGAAATATTCCGGAGGAGGGCTGTATCTGAAGATGTCACGAGCAAGACTGAGGAGGTTGACAAGTCATTGTTGATGCTTCCTTCATAATCGTTGAATATTGTTATTAAAACGGACGTTTGATCGCGAGGAGATGACTCCACTGATAAATTATTGAAAGGAACTTCCTCGATTTGCTTTCAACTTATCAACAAAACGTAATGGATTGTCGGAGGATGTAGGGAGGAGGTTACAGACAGGAGCATTGCTGCAGGAAGGAATTGCGTCTGGGACGTAGCCAAAAGGATGCATTTAACGCGAAAGCCTGACAATTAATAATACAGAATACTTATCCTTTTAATCGGTCTTTGGAAATAATATTTTAACATTCTCTCCATTTATTCGTACATTCACGAATAATTGCTACAACCCGTTCCGAGGATACACTTCATCGCATCTGAGCCCTCTCCATTTTCCAATGCTTTCGAACAAGCATGTCGGAATTTAGCAAAAATTTCGGATCATTGGAAATTTCGGATGGAAACTGTCAACCTTACTATCACAGCACGAACACAGAAAAGATTCGAGCGCAGAACGAAGCAAAGTTGTCAGGACGGATCATTTCCAATGATCTGAATGAGGGCTTTTAAACTGGATAATTTTCACGATTTAATCATCAAAAAAAATTGTCGGTACTGGGCATGTGCAAAATCATGTACACTATATAATGCAGGATCATCGTGTTAACACCAACGGTACTCTTATGTTTGCCGTGTGACAGAGCATTTTTTCCACACCATTCGACACAACAGCGACTCTCGATTTCGAAAAGCATATATTATATCTGAATGATTTTGCTTGTATGAGAGGATATAGCTAAATTCTTAAGGGTATTTAAACTAGCGCAATGACACTCGTTGATATGTACTGGATCACTATAGATCGATCTGTGCACTGCAATACCACTATACTCTCGGGTTTGCCCCGTAACATAGCAACTTCTTCAACCCGTTCGATCCGCCAGCACCTCTAGATTCCGAAAGTCATATAATCTGTCGAGCGATTTTGCTTACACGAGGATATATAGCAAATTTCCGAAATCGTTTACATGTATTGTATCATTATGGATCGATCTATACATTACTATAGTAATGTAATGATTACGATCTTCAAGACAACGGTACCCTCAAGTTTGCTCTCTAACACGTTATTTTCTTTACATCATCCGATCTCCCACATTCTCTAGTTTCAGAAAAGTATGTATGTTGAGGGGCGATTTTGCTTACAAAAGGACATATTGATGATTTTCTGAAGGCATCAGAATTAGCACAGTGGCACTCGTTTATGTGCATTGCATCGCTATAGATCATCACTATACATAGCAATAGTACCATAATGAAGCCAGCGGTACTCTCAAGTTTGCCCAGGAACATAGCGATATCTCCGCACCGTTCCAAATCACTGAACCTTTAGGTTTTAGGAAAAATATATAATGTCGGCAGATTTTGCCTGAACCAGGATGTAGCATACTGGAGATGTTTTAAAGCAGTGGGTGATTTCGTGCTCAAAAAATCTTCTAATTTAAGATACAAGTGTCTGCAATTTTATTGCTCACAGTTTAGTTCGCTCGCGACGGCAATAAGCCTTTTCGTAATCACATTTCATGAATCTGTTCTACGATGTATCAATTCCTCTACCATCCGAACTCGCTGCTATGCATATAAGTACACCAGTCGATCCAGCGGAATCTCTAGAATCAGAAAAACGTATACCTATCCGAGTGATTTTGCTTTCTTGAAGAGATATAGCTATAGCCATTAAAGCCATCTCAATTGGCGCAGAGGCACTCATTCAATGC